CTTCTGCTCTTATGAAGGTATCCTACCTTGATCTAGACTAAGTGAACTCGTTCTTGTACCGTCTCCTCACCTCCTCTTTGAGGCTCTTGGAGTGGCTTGTTTTGAACTTCGGAATCTGCTGCTTTTTTTATGGGTGACCACAAAGCCTGCCTTCCCAGACGTGTCCTTGCTATAGCAGTCGCTCAAGCAGATTGCTCCTTTCGAGGTAAAGCTGCTCTCGTGCCTTCAGTGGCAGTTTGCATACGGTTGTGACATATGTACTCGTTCTTGAGGCTGTTCGGTCCCGTCCAACTGCAAACCCACTTAAGCTCGCTGCCGTGGAGCATCGCGGCCCTTACCGCTGTCTGATGTACCTCACATCTAACGATAAGCGTTCTGGAGCAGTGTAGATTGCAGAGACTACCAACGCTCCCCTCCATTTCATCCATGCGCGTCTATTCGACCATTTACTGCTTGGTTTACGCTACCGTCAGATCGCTCCCAACACAATGGTAGTCTTTCACTCTTACGATGCTTCTCCCTTCAACAGCCCCTTGTATGAATAATTAATCTGTTGGACCCCCATTGCCGCGCAAGGAACTTTTACACCCTTATGAATAGTAGGTAATGGGGAGTAGCACAAGAGAGGGTGACGAAGGGAAAGGCTTAAAGGTGTAGGAATTGGCGGAGGTATGCTTGGGGAAAGGGCAATGCCGAACAGATCGGTAGAGGGAGTCAGAGCGGCAGAAATAGAGAAAAAAGGAGACAAAGACAGGAAGAACAAGTCAAAATCCATTGCTAAAGCTTTCAGCCTCGCGGTCATTGCCGATATCGGCTAACCGGCTCAACACGTTATACGTGTGAGTGCTGACAAGCTATGGTAGTATACCATGAAAAGCTGAGTTGGAATGAAATGGTGCCCCGGTAGCGTAACTGGTAGCGCACTTGCCCGGAAAGCGAGAGGTGCGGGTTCTAGTCCCGTCTGGGGCGAAAGTTTTGTTCACAACCCAGCATTCTTGAGACAAAGAATCACAGGCGGAACTACGAGCCAAGAGCGCAATCAGAGCTTCTGGTTTCAGCTTTGTTCTCCTCGGTCCAAGCCCATAAATAATCAAAATCTTCTCTTCCACTGATCTTCACCCACATTTCCCTCTTTAGGACGCCCTAGAGCAAATGTAAATTCAGCAGTAAGAGGCATTCAGCTAGGGCACGTTTCGTCCATAGTGTGAACTTTTCAATAGTTTCTGGCTGTTCTGATACCCAAATAGAAAGTTTTCCTCGGCGCTGTCGATTTTAGTACATGCTCAGGACAGGGACCACTTAGCCGTATCTGGCATCTGTCTGTCTTGGCCCTTCTCTCCAAATCATCCCTCAGTAATACCGAATTCAGTGACGGACACAGGAAGACAAGAACGCTTCCTAGTTACAACAGGCGCGCAGAATTTCCCCTGTTACAGCTAGAACAAATTAGTTGAGACTCAGAGCACTCCTCGGAGTTTTACGCATTTTTCGAATTGCGGTACATTGTTCATTTTTTAGGAGCGTTCGGCGATCTTGTCGCCGAAAGTCTTGAAGGAAACGGATGGATTGTCGAGAAACAGCCTATCGACAACGGCACTTCACGATTCAACATTCTGGCTACCCGTAAACCTTTGAAAGAAACAAGTTCGATCGGAATTCCCACTCTTGCCATATTTCCACTCGTGTTGGATGTTATGACCAGGACTGTTTCAGCACCTCGAATTCTGTTCAACACCCATCTCGATACCGTTCCTCCCTACATTCCACCCACGGAAGACGACTCGCACATCTACGGTCGCGGGTCGAATGACGCAAAAGGTTTGAGAGCGCGCTACCTCGTTCTCCGTCCCATCCCTTGTTATGACCCTGGTCTTTTTGAGGGCAACTGGCGTGTATGGTCTCAGCTGCCCAGGCTCTGGTGAGGTCTCATCCGGACGTTGCAGATCAACTGGCGCTTCTCTTCGTCGTTGGGGAAGAAGTCGATCATGTAGGAATGATGGTAAGATCGGACTTTTAGAGAATCTACAACCCGTCCCCGCAATTCATTTTTATTAGTCCCGGTTGAGCGCTTCCATTAGGTTGGTGCAAAAGTCTTGAGACACTCGGATACGTGTTTAAAAATCTTTTACAATTTTATTCAAACTCTAACTCAATAAACTATATAATCACCATCATTATCTATGACATTCATCCAACGAGCAGGCAAGTCGGCTATTCCCTTCTCCCAGAAAGAAGAGGACTGTGAGTCAAAGAAGTCAGTCACAGTATTTTTGAGGTCACCAAAAGTGGCGAACTTCTTCTTGACCAGGAATTGCTTGAGGTGCCTAAAAAGATGATAGTCAGAAGGGGCGAGGTCGGGGAATAGGGAGGGTGGGGGACGGTATTCCAGCCGAGCTCCTGTAGCCTGGACTGCGTGATCTTTGCGACGTGAGATCATGGACAGAAACCCTTCTCGGTCGCTTTTTCTTCGATTGCATGAGCGAGTTCCTGGAGCTGGCGACTGTAAATGGTAGCCGTGACTGCCTGGCCTTGAGGGAGCAACTCATGGTATAGCATTCCCTTTGAGTCCCAGAAGCAGCACAGCAAAACCTTCTTTGAGTGCTGTCCTGGCTTGGGCTGCACGGGTGGATCTTCTCCTTTTGGGAGCCAGACAGCGACCCTCTTGTTGTTGTCGTAGAAGATCCAGCTTTCATCCCCGGTAACCAGATCCTGCAGAAACTCCTTCCGATTTGGGGTAAGGAGGAGCGACTGGGCGATTGAGACACGCGTGTGACGCAGATCGTCGGTCAGTTGGTGCGGAATCCATCGAGCGAAAACTTTCCTGTAACCGTGCTCGTGAAGGTGTCGAACGACGTTGCTGTGATCGCACTCGAGAAGCTCCGCCAATTCCCTGCTCGTAGCCTCCGGCTTCTTCACCTCGCTGAGAAGTCGGTCGTCTTCGATAACAACTGGTCGCCCGGAGCGAGGATCGTCGTCGAGCATCGTATCTCCAGACTGAAAACGAGCGAATAAACGACTAACCGTCGCATGGCTGACGAGGTTCTCTCCGAATGCAGTGTTGATATTGGAGGCAGCGGAACGAGCACTGGAACCGCGGCGCCACTCGTAGAAGACGATTGCTCGAAGTTGACTTCTTGACAATTGCGACATGGTTTATACCAGAAGGGCTCGGGACCTATTTAAATACTGCTAGCGGTAACTCTGAGATTGTTCTAGAATATGGTGAAATCATGACGGTGGCAAAGATTCTTGTAGAGACATGACGATCCATGTAAATTTGTGTCTCAAGACTTTTGCACCAACCTAATACTATGTGGTAAAGCAGAGTATAATACCACATCTTGCCCTATTGTTCGTCCTAGTGCTTTCCATCGATGCTCGCGCCATCCGCGCCCCTGGATCGGTTTTGGGTCTAGAAGCCATTTTCGTAGGTGACCGGCACAAGCTAGGATAAGGTGTAATGGAGGTTGTGTACGAAAAAGATGGGTAAGCAAACATTGGGTGATATGGCCGAGTTTGGCCTGAAATCTAAGCCTAGAGCCAGCCCAACTACCCGATTCCATCGCGTTGTTGTTCTGCGCCATCTGAAGCACTCGCAGAAGAGAGTTCTGTTTTGCTTCATTGAACAAATTCATTCGCGCTTTCGCCTTGCGCACGGCTTTTTCTCAGTGAGTGGCCACAGTGCAGATATTCCACTGCTGTAAACATATGGAGGAAATCAAGAACACCTGGCTCCTAGCAAGTCGCCTGCCTGATCTTGACTGGGAAACATTGCTCAACCAAGCTGTGCTATGAGACACCTACTGTAATTTTTTGTGCCCCGCTTTTTAAACCCCCCAAAAAATTTTGTTTTTCAGGCGCGGGGGGGAATTCCAGAAGCAAGACTTCAGTCTCTGAAAACCCGACTATTTGATTGTGGGTGAGCCGACTGAGTTGAAATTCGCCACGATACAGAAAGGTGCGCTGAAAGTGAGCTTCTTCCTCTTGTTTTTTTTTCTTTTCTAAAAGCTCTCACAATATGTAGAAGATTCCTTCTGCATTTTTTATATTTCTCATCTTTTTATTTTTAGTTCAATTCACTGAAAAGCCAATTCAGATGCTTGTTAAGGTCACTCTGCGATGCAAAGGTGTAGCGGGCCATTCCGGGTATCCATCCGAAGGGGAAAGTGCAATCCACAAATTGGTGCCCATCCTGAGCGACATTCTCAACTTTAGTTGGCCAAGTGATCCTGAATTTGGTTTGTGATCAGCATTTCGAGCTGTGCTCTTCCTAGCAAAACTTACTACAGATCATTCAGTACCATAAGTTTCAGGAGCAACCACTGTCAACATTGGCCTCGTCGAGGGAGGGCAAGCTTTGAACGCATTGGGGCTGAGAGCGCTTCGGCGAAGATCTTCCTGCGA